AGCTCTAAGAGAGATGTAAATTAAAACAACTGTGAGATACCATCTCACCTCAGTCAGAATAGCAAAATTGAACAGAACAGCAAGCAACAAATGCCAGCAAGGTTGTGGAGAAAGTGGAACTCTTATTCACTGTTGGTGGGAGTGTACAATGGTACAACCACTATGGAAGGCGGTATGGCGCTTTCTCAAAAAGTTGCAAATAGAGATACCATTTGACCCAGCAGTTCTACTACTGGGAATAGACCCCAGAGAGACCATAACTGATATCCAAGCAGATATATGCACACCCATGTTTATTGTGGCTTTGTTCACAATAGGAAGGAGTTGGAAACAACCTAAGTGCCCATCAACAAATGAATGAATAGAGAAGCTGTGGTATATTCACACAATGGAATACTATGCTACATTGAAAAATAAGGAACTAATGCATTATTATTCAAAGTGGGTGACCCTGGAGGACATTATGCTGAGTGAAGTGTCTCTGTCACAAAAGGACAAATACTGCATGGCGCCACTGTTGTAAAACAGGACTGACATTGGGTTTGGGGGGAGACTGAGAAAAATGGGTTCAGTAATGTATACTGCATTGAAACAGATAAAGGAGAAAACTGTTTAAAAGGGATATGTGATTAGGTAGGTTTGCCATGACAGTAGTCCAGAGCGAAGGCTGCATAGTGGAGTGGACCTGGGGGGAGGGATTGTAAACAATGAAAGAATTTAAAAAAAAAAAGACTACTCCACCAGAGCTTCTCTGAGTAATGCTTAGTTATCCCATACCTATAGAATATATGAAGCAGGAGTGGCATCCACTTCCTAAACAACATGCCTCTGGAAATTCAGTATACTTTGATAAATGTCAATAGTTATAGAAAGGCTTCAGGTTTTTTGTTCATAGGGTTGCTAGCTCAACTCTGGCTGTCAACAACAACATGGGATGATATATACAAAGGGTTTGTTGATTCAGATGTACCCAGCAGCTGCATAGGAAGAAAACACCTGCAGTTCTGTTCCTATAAAGATTTCAAAACCAAACAAAAAAAATACCCCCTGTTGCTCAGGAGTTGATTTCAACTCGTAGGCATAGGACAGAGTAGAGTTGTCCCATGAGGTTTCCAAAACTAATTTTTATGCACGCTGACTGCTGTATCTTCTCTGATAGAGTACCTGATGGTTTTGAACAACTGACTTTTAGATTAGCAACCAGCTACTTAAGAATTTTATCACCGTGTTGTTTTTGTCAGGTGCTATTGAGTTAACTACCACTTAATGCAACCCTGAACAGCGGATCTGAACTTTGCCCTATTCTGTGTCATCCTCGTGATCTCTGATAGACTTGAGCCTATTGTTGCAGTCACTGTGTCAGCTTATCTTTTGGGGAGTCTTCTCTTTTTCTGACCCTCAGCCTTTCCCAGTATGAATGTCCTTTTCTGAGGACTGATCCCTACTAACAACATGCCCAAAGTATGTGAGACAAATTTTCAGTTACTGTTGAAGGTACCACCAAACTGCCCTCTTATAAATATTACAGCCTAGACAACTCTCTCAGAAGTCATTATAATAGAAAAGCAACTTGATGGACCCTCAAAACAACATACTTACTGTGATTGCTAATGTTCTTGTCACATGAATTTTTGACTAGTGTCTAAGAGTGCCTGAAACAGGAAGCATTGAATAAATAATCAAAGACAGGTGACAGAAATACCAGAGAGTGCAGTACAGGGCTTATTCGAAGAAAGACAAAGGGGTCAAAAGAGACATGGCTGGTTAAGGATATTAACTTCCGGAGCTCAAGAAATAATTGCAAAACTATGGCAATGTGTTCAACTTTTGGGATTTTTATATATCTTTTTCTAAATATCCTCTTTAACCTGATTTGCTGATAGAATATCTCCCCCCCACCCCCACCCCACATTTCCCATTGAACTCTGGTAATTTAGTTGTAAAGAATTGCACTGCCAGCCCAAAAGAAGTGGTTTGAATCCACTAGCTGCTCCTTGAAAGCAGTTAGTAGTCTCCTCCTGTGCTAATTCACAACCTGTAAAAACCTGTTGGAGGGTCAACTACGAGTCAGTACCAACTCAGCAGTATAGAACAACAGTTTCTATTAACTACTGCTTTCATGTTAATTCCAGCAGTGTTCTTTTCTCAGGTTTCTTAGCTTACAGAAAGTGAAGGCTTAGTTGAAGAAGGTCAAAGACTACAACCTTGAATGTGAAATCTATCTCAACATCACCACTGGGTCAGTAGGCAACATGATAATAAATACAGAAAAGCTTGAGGTTGTCCATGGTTTCATTTTATTTGGTTCCACAGTCATCATAGCAGCAATCAACAAATCAAATGATTTAAAGCAATGTCTCGTTTTAGGGAAATATGCTGTCAGGAACCTCTTAAAGTTCAAAAGACCAAAGATATCAGTTTAAAAGTGAAGGTGTGTTTGATGCAAGCTATGGCATTTTCATTTACCTCGTATGCAAGTAAAAGTTGAATCGTGATAAGAATAAGAAAAGAGAAAAAGAAAGAAGAAGGAAAACTGAATCATTGCCTTTGAATTGTGGTGTTGGAGAAGAATATTGAATACCCCATAGACTGCCAAAAGAACAAATAAATCTACCTTGGAGAAAACACAGGTAGGGTACTTCTTAGAAGCAAAGATTGTGAAACTTGACCTCACATATTTGGGCATGTCCTCAAGAGAAGCTAGACCTTATTGGGGGGGGGGTGTGGACAATGCTGGGAAAGGTTGAGGGAGGGTCTGGGAAAGAGAAGATTTCCAATAAGTTGAACTAACAACAGTGCTGGTACAGTGGGATCAAGCATTTAAGAGTTCATGAAGATGGCTTAGTATAGAGTAAGTTTCAGATCTGTTTTTCATAGAGTTGCTATGAGTCATAGTTGATGCAGTGGCACCTAACAAATGTAATAACAGTTGGGTTTCTGAGAGAACTTGAAGTGTTTGTGGTAGAAGATCAAAGACTGCAGCCTTCAATATTAATTATATCTCAGCGTCAAAAAACCAAAAATATCACTGGATCAATAGGCAATAATATCATTATAGTTAGTGAAAAGATTGAAACTGTCAACAATATGATTTTCCTTGGATCCACAGTCAGTAAATATACTTGGTACCAACAGTCAAAAGATGTATTGCACTGAGAGAGTCTATAGTCAGGAATCTTTCCAGATGATTGAGGAGCAATGGTATCAGTTTGAGGACTAAAGTGTGCCTGATTCAGGCTGTGGTCTTTTCAATCACTTGCTGTTCTCCTGAGAGCTGAACAGTGAATAAAGATAACAGAAGACTTGACACCTTTGAGCTGTAGTGTTGGAGAATAGTACTAAATACCCCATGGACTGCCAAAAGAACAAACAGATTATATCTTAGAGAAGGTATTCCTTGGAGGCAAAGGTGATAGAGCCTCATCTCACATACTTTGGGCTTATTGCTAAGAAAGATTATTCATTGGCGAGGGACGGCTAAAGAGGAAGACCCTCAACCAGTGGGATTGATACAGTGACTGCAGGAATGACAAGTGTGTCAGAGATTGTGAGGATGGTACAGGATAATAGGACAAGGTTCAGATCTGTTGTTGATAGGGTCACAATGTATCATACTTGACGTGATGGTATCTAACAACAACAATACAATATTATAGGAGGAGACTGTCCATCATTTTTCCTCAGCAGCTGATAGATTCAAACCAGTAACCTTTTGATTAGCAGCACTAATCAAATGTACTATACCACTATACCACCAAAACACCTTCATTTTTGTTACTTTGGTTTTTTCCCTTCTGTGGCAAACTTTGAGTTCCTGTGCTTCTCTCATATTCACATTCAATTCTTGTTTGATTTTAGTATCTGTACATGTCTTTGTATTTGAAGTCATATCATACTCTGAGAAAATGTCTCATATTTTCAATAAATTCTGTCCTTGGAGTTTTCAAGTGCCCTCAGAAATGATTATGATTTGACTTTCCTATTCTTTTTGTAATGAGGTCTGCCTGCACAGTGGCTAAATAACTTGGTTGTTGACTAAAAGCTTAGTGATTCGAACCCACCTGCTGTTTCTTAGACAAAAATTGGGACAGTCTGCTTCCATAAAGATTTACACTCTTAGAAGCTCCATCCTATAGGGCTACTGTGAGTCAGAATTTATCGATTAGCACTAGATTTGATTTTGAAACTTACTGGGTTTTTTTCCCCCTGAGAGCTCACAGTACAGTAGTTAATCACTAGGATACTAACTAAAAAGCTGACAGTTTTAAACCCACCAGATGCTCTGAGGGTACAAGATCGAATACACTCAGCTTCCAAGATAACTAGCTAAGCCTTGGATGAGTTACTAGGCTTGTTTTAGGACCATAATTCCAAGGGATATTCAAGTCAATTGACATAACACAATTACATACTGTTATGGTGAGTTGCAACTGGGATCTTTAAACCTCACAGGTAGCCACCCAAGATAAAAAATTTCAACTGATATTTTTAGTTATTACCTAGAAAGTTGTTAGAGTTTTACTTATTTTTTGTTAAAGTTGCTACATATTACAACCATTTAGTGTTTTGTTTCTTGCTTATTAGAAAATAAGGTATACAAATCTTACTTTTCAGTTATAGTTCTTGTGTTTTGTTTCAACATTTTTATTTCTAGATAAACATGCATCTTGATAAATAGTAGTCAGAATTTATCTGTTTTCCCTATGTGCTGGTATTTATATCCCACAAAACTTAGCCTTTTGGATTTTGCGGTGGTGGTGGGTTGTGTGTTTTTTTTTTCTTATAGGCTTTTCCTTTCAATAAGGCTTTGTGCGTCTTGATAGCAAGGAGTATAAAGAAAACTTGATTACTCAGTCTAATTAACTTTGCTTGTACTATGTTCTTTTATATGTGAAATAATTTGTTACAGGGTCACAGTTTTACTTAAATTGGTATTACTGAGAGAAGGCAAACATAACTATACTATAATTCATTTTACAGGAAACCTTTTTCCAAAGAGAATGAAGGAGAAAACTGTATATACCTTAAATGTGGATGATGAAAAGTATGAAGATATGGAAGGTAACTTTTGTTTTTGTAACTGTTATATGTTGGAAGAAACTTGGTTTTTCCAAATTGTTCATTTGTGTTCTAAAATATACACAGTTAGGGCTTTTACTTTGTTTTATTATTCTTAAATTCTGAAGTAAATAATCTAAATATATAAACCAAAAGTAACAAAAGGTTTGCAGTCAAGTTGGTTCCAACTTCTAGACTCCTATGGAACCAGAATATAGTTGTTCTATAGAATTGTTGGTCTTTATGGAGGCCAACTGACTGAAGTGACCTGTCCACAACCAAGCCCTCAATGATTGCACCAAGATTCCTTTCTAAATAAATGGTAAACATTTTTGGGGGTTACACCCAACTCTGTCACCATCACCCTCGCCCACCACTGTTTCTAATTTTTTTTTTAACTGCTTGAGGTTTTTGGTTTATTGAACTTTTTAAATCCTTGCTCTCTAAAGACATTTTAGGTGTTGAGTTGTTATGTGCCATCAAGTAAAGTACAACTCAGAGCACAACTATGAACAGTGGGTTTGAAACCTGCTCTTTCCTGAGCCATCTTTACAGTCTCTGACGTACTTGAGCCTATTTTGCTACAGCCATTGTGTCAGTCTATATTGTTGAATGTCTTCCTCTTACTCTGACCTCTTACCTCTCTAAGGACTGGCACCCTCTAACAACATGCCCAAAGTATATCAGACAAAGTTTCACCATTCTTACTTCAGGGAACACTCTAGTTTCACTTTATCCAAGAAAGACTTGTTTATTGTCCTGAAGTTTATGGAATATTCAGTACTCTTCTCCAAGACCACAACTCAAAGGCACCAGTTCTTATTTTGCCATCCTTCATCATTTTCCAACTTTCTTTTTTTTAAATTATTATTAAATTTTATTAGTTTTTAATGAACATTTACAGAGATTTTGGGTTTTCAT